GAAGTGGAAGTAAAACCCTCTAATATCATGTACAGCAACTTCTATGAAAAATCATCTTTGATCCAGACATTGTAACGAATACAGAGAGCATAAAAGAAACAGGAAAGTTTGGGGAATGAGGTGCCTCAAACGCATTTTGTTCTCACTAATCAAACTTCAAAACAACAGATTTTTAAAAGAATACTTTTAAAACTACATTCTTTATAGTTTTGAGTCCATTGAAGCTAAAACCTTAAATCGAAACTGTCAAGTTTGCTGCATACTACTGACCACCGTTTTCAGAAGTAGAAGATGAGGAATTTTCAAAATTTGCATGAGCTATGATTCTTAAACGTTCTTTCTGGAAATCATGTTTTAAAAAATTATTCTTTCTGGAAAACGTGTTTTGAAAAAGTGTTATTTAAATTATACATAGAATTACTGTATGTACTGCCTCAGGATCTTGTATGTGAAACATTTGGGCATTAAACAATGAGGTGCCTTTTTAGTTGATTTATGACTACCTTAACTGTGACTCTGCTTGTTGCTGCGATATTTCTGAGTCTCGCCCGTAATGGACAACACAGCACGTATGAATCATGGATGTACATGGAAAGGAAAATCATCATTGATGATGGAATAAGAAAGAGGCTGAGTGAATTAGAAATTACAAGCATATTATGATTTGTTCTCTCTTCAGTTGTGTCCAGAAATAGACAGCAGCATCGGGCAGAAGAATTGCTGGTCATTATCAGAAAGATGGTCACATCACATCTGATTATTCTTCAACCAAAATTGACTCATGACCTAAGGGAGACTTGGGCATGGCCTTCCCACAGCATCCGAGCAGCATGGCGAAGCAGGTCTTCTATGTTCAAAGAGCTACCCGCACAAAAAGGAGACAGTATACTCTGCAGAAGAGAATCCCCACGTAGCAGGACTTACCGATGGCCAGAGGTACTTGTGGAAAACATGGTTTCTTTGGCGAACTTCCTGAAGAAGCCTCAGACCGACATGCTCAGAGAGTGGAAGTACATGATGCATGCTGTAGAAGCTTTGCTATTCTGCTTCCACTAAGGTGCTGAAATAGGCGTGCAGCTCTTGAAAGTTGAGATAGGGATGGAAACCGAGGCATCATATTCACAATGTTGTCAGCCTTCCAGAATGTTCCCAGTGATCTCCACTTCCTGGTGGTCATTCATTCCTTTAGGCAATCTCCCCAAGTACACACTGGCCCTGCTGACTTGAGTATAACCTGGAACATGGCGAGGGATGGGATGTCATTGCCGAGATTGGATTACCAAGGGCTGTGACCTCTGTCTTGTTGGCAAACTCTTTGGGCTCCCTGGTTTTTCACATATGAATGATTAATGAAGTACGTGGTTATATTGTGAGCTGCCATTTTGGAAATGCCTATGTGTCAAGACACTGAGGGAAGCCCTTGGCCAACAGCCAGAAAGGAGCCAAGGTTCTCATTCCAATACCTCATGAGGAAACAAATGGTGCCACAGACCAGTGTGTGAGCTTGGAAATGGGTCATTCCCCAGTAGCATCTTCAGGGGAGATGGGGACCCCAAGTCAGCATGCCTGCCTGGTGAGGAACTGTGAGCAGAGGATCAAACTAAGCTATGCCCAGATTCCCGACCCACAGAAACTATAGGATGATGAATGTGTGCCGTTGTAAGCTGCTTAATTCTGGGGTGATTTGTTACGTAACAGTGGATAGCTTGTATGATTTTGAGATCTTGAAGGTCAGTTGGATTGTTCTATTGTCCTATTTCTCATCCAAGATTTAAGGACAGATTCTACCCAAGTGATTATGTGATGTGTCAAGTGTGTGCAAAAATCTTAGGGAAAAAAAACGAGAGGGCAGGACTTTCTCATTTTTGACAGTGTTGCACCAGGTGAATCAACCCTTCTGCGAAGACAGTTACGAGTGTTGGTTAGAGGACTAAAAGGGTCTTCACAAAAACCCAAAGAACGTTTACACGTTAAGGGAGCCTTTAAGATCACGACAGAGACGCTCCTCTGGGGAGGAATTTCCCAGCTGAGATTTAGAAAGTGAGAACTTGGAGAAGCACACAGGGCACTGGAAGCTGCTCAGACCCGGGAGCATTTGCTTATTCTGACGACAGAAAATGAACTGCAGAGTCTTCAGCAGTCTCCTGGAAGGTACCAAGCTGGCAACATGGCACACGGGAGCCTCCGGAAGAAGGTTCTTCAGTGGCAGAAGGAAAAGGATCCCAGACAGATGGGCTCAGGCAAAGCACCAAGGAAGTGTGCTAGCACAGGAGTCTGGACCTCTGCAGAAATCAAGGGCACTCCAAGGACTTAAGGGAACATAGATCAAAGAAGGGACTAGAAACCACGTGCAGGTGGCATGAAGGGGCTCGACGGGACAGGCAGTGGTGGGCAGCCATGACCACCTGGACCTGATGGGCAGGGAAAAAGGACGGGACCTGAGGCAGGAAGGAGTGTGGGTACCAGTCCAGCTTGTGGACACAGGACAGTGCAGCTGCAGCCAGGACTGTGGGGAGGGACCCAGGGGACTAAAAACCCTGCCTTTCCAAAAGCCCAGCGCTGCCTCCTGCTAATCCCAGAAGGCAAGGGGAGGCCAAGGACACAGTCCTGAGAGGCCAGCCTTCCTGGGAACACCGAGCAGAGAAGAGTGACTAGCAGACCGGAGGGTTCGTGCCTCCTTGCCATTTAGCACCGTCCTTGTCCTTTGTTCAGACAGAGAAGCTCACCTGTCTAACACACAGGGGCGCCATCCCAGGAGCTCAGCTGTCACAGTGGAGTGAGGCCCTCTGAGTTACGCTCCTAACTAAGCCACCACTGTGCTTGTCACAGGAGACACTGAGATGAAAATGTCAGGGTGACTCCAAGGACCCAAGTCATCAGTGCTTCCTCTTATCATCCTGCCACAGGGTCCCGTGGGCGTTATTTGGAGATGGAGGTGTGAAGAGATTGCCCAGGGAATACTCTGGGTCCACTTCTAATTCTCCTTCATCCCCTGGTGTAGCAGCAACCCAATTTCCTCTTAGTAACCGGACCAGTCACCCTAGCCCAGTAGCCAGGGCCCTCCCTCTGCCTTTGGTCCAGCATCACGACTCTCCCCGGATGGCCCAGAGGCTCTCTCTGCTCCCTCTTCAAGGAACCAAGACTGTGTCCTCTGGGACAAGTGTTTCTCCTGAAGGCACTAGGAGCCCAAACCCACCCGCTCCAAGGTTGCAATTCAGGAAGCGTAAACGGCTAAGCATGAAATTAGGTGTCTCAAAACACAGGCTGAAAGAAACGTAAAGATCTTAACAAAGTCAAAGCTCTCGATTGGCTCCATTTGCGCTTCTAGAATCGGACAACACTTTATTCTTCAAAATAGAACGAGCGATCCCATGAGAGCACAGGAGGCTGGTTTTATAGACGGGAGGGCTGAGGAAAGCAGAGACAGACAAAAAGTGGTTTTGCTGCTTCAAAGTTACTTTCCTCGTAAAGGTTAAAGGAGGGGGCTTCCTGGTGGTGCCAGCTAGCGCTGGCCTGTTAGGGATTTGGCTATTATCCGTCTCTCCTAATTATTCAGAAGGTCAGATCAACAGTTTGGTTTTGGCTTGGCGACGTGGAACTTTAGCGTGAGTGATGCCATTTTGGTCTGGTCTGCTGGGTCGAGTGTGGGGACTGAGCCAGACCAATGGCCTCCTGTACATTCTACTTCCAGGTGGAATAAGCAAGAAGGGCCAGTCCTGCTTCCACTTCTCAGTCTGGACACTGTGTATTCGGGCTCTGGAAATGCTACAGTGCACCGGAGGTGGTTTAGGGCAAATGCTGTTCTGTGGACCCCACCCTGCCCCTCCCTGGGTCCCCCAGATGGCACCACAGCTGAGCCTTCAGTAAGTCCTTCCCCCATGACATTGACTCATTGGCTTCTGGGTGATGGGACATAATTTCACTTCTCTGTCCTCCAAGTTCGTTTCTGATTCAGTGTGGGGGACCCTTGGGGCTCCCCCTTCAGCCGCCATCACGGTAAAGATAAGGGACTCTTCCAAGGTACCACAGAGGCTTTCTGACATCTGCCACCTGTGTCTTGAGATGGGAATGCGAGGTCTGAGCTTATCTTTCTTTCTTTCTGTACCAGGGATTGAACTCAGAGGCACTCAACCACTGAGCCACATCCCTAGCGCCTTTATTTTATTTAGAGACGGGGGTCTCACTGAGTTGCTTAGCAACTCACTTTTCCTGAGGCTGGCTTTGAACTCACGACCCTCCTGCTTCAGCTTCCAGAGCTGCTGGGATTACAGGTAAGTGCCACCGTGCCAGGCCTTATCTTTCTTTTTATTGGTCTCCAAGTCGGTCAGAGGCATACTGTAGGCCATATGGTCTTCATGGTGGCCTTTGTCACCAAGGTGACTGAGTGTCACTTAATCTCCCAGTACCTTGCCCTCTGTCTTATTCCACCACTGGTAACAATCTGAGCACTCACAACACACTAACAATGACTAGGGGGCTAAACCGCAGGGTGGGTATAAAGTAAGAGAAACAGTAATATATCGGAGATGCACAAAAAAATTAAAGTGTTCTAATGTCCTATCTTGGAGAAGTTTAAATAAATTAGCTGCAGATTGTTAAGTATATGCATTATAATTTTAGGATAACAAACAAATTTAGAGTATAAAAGTTCTGAACTAATAGAAGAGAGATTAAATAGGAAGGAAAAATTTTAGCCCAGCCACCCAATCCTAGGCCAGAAGGGAGGAGGAAATAAAAAGGGAATCACTGAAAATGGAGTATTTAACCCCAAATATGTTAGTACTTGCATTAAATGTAGCATAAGGGTTCTGTTAAAATCAGTTTGCCAGGTTGAACCCCCCTCAAAATCCAAATGTACGCTTTTCACAGGACACATCTAAAATGTAAAGGTACAGGAATGTTGGACTGAAAAGATAACAGAGTGGCAAGTGGCCACCAGAGGAGCTGAGGGATGTAGTAAGGTCAGCTAAATAGACTGTAAAGAGGGTCGTGTCAGGGTTGGGGGTGTAGCTCAGGGGTAGAGGGCTTGCCTGGCATGCACGAGGCCCTGGGTTCAATTCCCAGCACCTCAAAAACAAAAACAAAAAAAAGGTAGTATCACAACAATAAAAGTCTCAGCTCATCAGAGTATTAAAATACTCAATTGGTACACACTGAATCGCAGCTCCCCAAATGTATAAAACAAAAGTTGACAGAACTACAAAAAGAAATAAAAATCACAGTGGTGAGTTTTTAACATATTTCTCTTTAATGAGTAAATTGAACATGAAAAAAATCAGTGAATATATAGAAAATCTAAACAATATCATTAATAAATTGATGTAAGCAAAAGACAGACATTGTACTCGTAACTGTCAGATACATACATTATTTTTAATCTGTAAATATCCATCATCTTTCATGTGTTATTAAAGTTCATGAGGACTATTATAAACATTGACCAGAGACTGAGCCACAGAGAAAAATCTCAACTTTATTCACAAGGTTCACAGCATAGAAAGTGTATTTTATGAACACTTTCCAGTTAAGGTAGAAATTTTAAAAGATGATTGGATCTTGAAGGTTTGGAAATTAATAAATCACTTTAGAAATTCTTGGGTCAACTATGCAGTCATATTGGAGACTAGAAAACAGTTTGAGGGTATTAATAGCTTAAAATGCTTATTATTGGAAGACAAATAAGCCAGATTAAATTAGGCATTTCTTCTCAAGGGATAAATAAAAATAAAGTAGAAAGAAATAATAAGTAAATAATAAAAATTTTAAAACCCATAAACCAGAATCAACAGAGCTCTTTTCTTTGAAAGAGTAATAAATTGATAAACCTCTAGTGAGTCTAATCTCAATGAAGATAGAAGGCACATTTGGCTAATGTCACGAACATAAAAGGACATAGCCACAGATATTGCATGCATTGAAAAATAAGAAAATAATGTTTTAAACAATTTTATATAAATGTCTTTGAAATTTAGATTAAATGTATAAGTTTTCTAAAATAGATAGACATGAATTTCTAAAGTATTTAGGACAACAACGTCAGAAAAATACAGAAAACCTGAATGGTTTTATAACTGTAGAGAAGAATCAGGTAAAAATCATCTCACAAGGAAAACTCTAGGTCCCAAGGGTTTAACCAGCAAATCGTATCAAAACTCAAGGGAGAAACAAAGAATCCCTTCTTCTCCAAATGCTTTGCTTATTTTTGGAGGCTAATGTAAAATTTATACCAAAACTCAACAGAAGTTAATCAGGCAAATATGGTGTGAATAGTAAACCAAAATTAGCAAGTTAAATTGATTTAAATATCAATAGGTGAATATGTCATAGCAGAAATGTATTTGCTCAGGTGGGTGTGGTGGTAATTTTCATTGGCCTATAATCCCAGTGGCTCCAGAGGCTGAGGCAGAAGGATTGCAAGTTCAAAGCCAGCCCCAGCAACTTAGTGAGGCCCTAAAGAACTTAGCAAGACTCTATGTCTAAATGTAATATAAAAAAAGGCTGGAGGAGCGGCTCACTGGTTAAGGACCCCGGGGTTCAATCCCCAGGTACCAAAAGAAAAATGTTTTTGCTCAGTCTTATCAGGCACACTTCAGGTGCTCAAAAGCGACCTGCGGCCAGTGGCCACGGCACTGGACAGCAGAGAGAACATGGCCATCATTGTAAAAAGCACTACTAGACACTCTATACATGAGAATCATGGAGCTATGGAGCAAAACAGTAAAACTCACACAGAGCAAAAATGGGGAAAAGGCATTCTCTGACAATAGACCAAAGAGAAAATCAAAATCAGTATTGCAGAATACCTAGAAGAAAATGTATCAAGCAACAATAGAATACAGTAATCTCCACTGCTAAAGAAACGTCAGTCATTGGCAGTAGTGGTGAGACCCGGAAGTCTACGCGTGAATCCTCAGAGCGAGGCAGAGTCCCACAGGGGCCATTGCTCTGCAAGTGCCAGGAAAGGTACCTGGACAGGAAATGAAGGTGCAGTATAAATAAGAGCCACGAAAAGACGGGACTGTCAACTTTCACAGACAATATGATCATCTACCTAAAAAACCCAAGAATTTACAGAAAAAATCTTAGAATTCATAACCAAGTTGTTTGAATTAGCAGACACAGCTCTGCATACTAATCAGGATCTTATAATGAATCAACAAGTAGAATTCGATCCCTGTCTCACACCATACACAAAGCCATTCCAGATGGGTTCACATGATTTTGAGATGATTTAAATATAAATTATTTTGCATTGAAATTTTCCATGGTTCATTTTTTAGGTCATTGATTTTCATAAATTAATTTTACATCAACTTGGGGTGATTTGCAAGTCTGGACCTTTGTGTTTGCCACAACTGGGTGAGGGCAAGGGTGCTCCTGGTGTCTACTGCGTGAAGCCAGGGGTATGCTAGGCACCCTACCATGTACAGGGCATCCCCCTCTCCCCCACAACCAAGTACTGTCCAGTTCCAATGGCAACAATGCTGAATTAAAAACTCTGCTGTAACCTGACACTTGAATGGGTTATTGTGTTGCCTCTAGTCATTTTCCCAGTTAACTCTGAATTTTCTAGGTATATAATCATACCAATTGCACATAATATAAAAGTATATACATACTAATTGCATAGAATAATCCTTTCCAGTACTTAGAGTTTTGATTTGGTTGTTTGAGAATGATGTTCACGGTGCACCCCTAGACTGTGTTCCCCTGAGGACCCCATCATGGTGAGATTCCTATGTCTCCCCACTGAGGACCCCAGAGCTAGATTTTGCTTTTGCAGGGACCTTGCAGGTGGCGTGCAGGTGGCATGCAGGTGTGTGCCTGAGCTCACCCTGAGGCTTTGTGGACGTGGAGAAGGGCTCTGTGCTCACTTTGGTGGCCTTGACCCTGAATGAGGCTGTCCCTGGGTCAACTGGGCCGTGGTTCTCCCGTCGTTGTTTCCTTAGATTCTGACCCACTTTCTGCACTTGGAACTTTAGCACCTGCGATCTGTCAGATGCCAATGTCCCATGAATGGCTTCTCTTTTTTGGCTTAGGTTAACCCAAATTGGCTTAAGTTAACCCCCCCAACCTTGGAATGTGAAGTAACGGTCGTGGTATTGGGTGCCCTTCTTTCTGCTGTTCCTGACTGTGAGAAGCCATCTCTGCTTCCCATTCATTCCTGAAACAAATATTGAAATCCACAAGTTCATTCCAGGCCACCAACATAGGGGTCCTTCTGGTTTTCTGTCTTTCCATGTGTGTCAATACCTTCTTCAAGAAACTAGTTTCCCATTATTGGCATATGTTTGCTCATTTCTTTTTCCCCATGGCTGTCACTAGCTGCTGCTCCTCCCTGCATGGCTGCTGACCTGGTCCTGCGAGGCTCTGCTTCCCCTTGCCTGGACGCCCTTCACCATCCCCAGGAGGCTCCCACAGCACCCTCCTGGAGCTCTGACACCCCCACAGGGCCATCCCTGAGTGCACCCACACCCAAATGCCCTCCCTGCTTGAGTTCTGATGCTCCTCTCTGATGTTCTTGGATAGAAACCATCACACTCTTTTGGGGACACCCAACTGCATACAGCCCACCTTGATCTTTAATACCTGCCGGCTCTAAGGCTGTACTGGTTAGGAAAGGTAGAAAAGGGGGGAGAAGGGGCGGGGCCGGGAGGGAAGGGGAGGAGCAGGGACAGGAACAGTGTGGTGGTCCTGGATCGACTTTGATGTCAAGCTGAGAGGGTTTCTGAGTGGAAGTGGGGTAAAGAGGAGGAGAAGCGAGCGCGACTTCAAAAGCTTTGGCCTGAGCTGCTGGAAAATGCAGCTAACATTTACTGAGGCAGGGGACAGGCTTGGAGTGGAAATCTAGAGCAAGGTTTCCACGGGACGAGTTTAAGTCACCTATAGGTATTTGGGCAGGCAGTTAAATGGGTGGGTCTGGAACTCTAGAGAAGGAAGCAGGATGAAGAGCCGTACTTGGGGGTGAGCAAGAGTTGGATAGTGTTTACAGTCTTGGGCTGGATGAGATTGCTCTGGGGCTGGGTGGAGATGGCAGAAGCAAGTGGCTCAATCCTAGGGTGGAACCGAGCCACGTTTACTCAGAAGCATTTAACTTGCTTTCGGTTTTTTGCAACTAGATAGGTAGGTAGGTGCCATCCTAAATTAAGGAGATGATTTTATTTCAGGAGGCTTCTGTTGGGAAAGGTGCCTGAATTTTAAGAGATGCTCCTTCAGCCTCTAGCAAACTCCTGCACAGCAGAGTTTCCTCTGGTCTATGTTTGAAGATCTATTTTAATGGATTTTCTAGCATTGAACTATATGAGTAATTCTCGGCATTTGGCCATGGTATGTCAAAAACTTGCTGGAGGTTTTCAGTTGCCACCTGTCAGCTTGGAATTCTCCAGGTGATATTCACAGGGAGATTCATCTGCAATTTTTGCCTTCTTCTGTTACCATGTTACATTTTATGCTCTGTGATGCCTTCTCTGTACACATAATTGCAAAGATCTGTAAAACATTTTTTCTCTTTATGTTGAATCACAATGACCTGTTGATATTTTGAAATGATTTAATAAGATTCTGTAAGCATGTATCATTTGCCAGTCTCTTTAACAGGTCCATCTTTTCTTGAGACTACTTTTATAATTTACAAGTTCCTGAGGAGTCATTTGTTTATTCCAAGTTTTCCAGTTAAAAGCAAAGAAGTGAACACAAAACTCTCCAATGAACTGGATTCCTTCACAGGGACCCCCTTCCTGCTCATCATTTCCATCCTTTGGTCCACATCCTGTGTGAATCTGGACTCTGAGCTACTGGTTTTGTTTTTTGTGCTAAGCATTTCAACTTAGGTCTCTGATTTGATTTGGCTTTTTCACTATGATCATTTTTCTCCTTTATTGTTGTCCATGTATGGTTTTCTTTTTTATTCTGTCTTATTTTTGTTTTGTTGATCATTTAAAAGTCTCCTTTATTTTCAAGAGACTGAGTTGCTTAGGAACCTTGCTAATTTGCTGAGCCTCCTGCCTCAGCCTCCAGAGCCACTGGGATTATAGGCGTGGGCCACCGCGTCCGGCCTCCTTTTAATTTTTAA